TTAAACGAGGTACTTCAGAGCCAACTGGCCGGCTCGGCTTTGGCGACATGTAACATTGTGAAGGTTGTACCTGCTGAAGCGCTCCGTGTAATAAACCATCACAGGTTTATTACAGGCTCGGTGCCTGCAGCCCCCAAGCTGGGCAGTTTGTCTCTATCTCAGACACATTCCCGCAGCGCAGAGGTTTCTGCGTGCTTTGCTTTGTGGGCTGGAGGAGGTCTTGTTTATTTTTTTTTCCCCAAGGGGAGATGAGTTGCCAAAGTAACCTGGACAGAGAGTAGTGTTTTGGATGGGATGTTACAGCTTTGTATTTATTTGCATGTTTATAGGACTTTTATATGCTTTTGAAGCAGAGCAAGAATGCGTAATACATTGTGATTATTTATGATAGCTCTAAGAAGGGGGTCTGGTGGTGATGGACATCTCAAAACCCAGCTGTGCAGAGCCCTTACCTGAAAGAGGACAGGGAGATGTCCCCTTTGCGGTGTGGCGTGTGTTTAGCAGCAGCTCTGTTCCCTGTCTGGGCTCTCGTGGTCTGCCAGGAGGAACTGAGACAAGCACTGCTGCCTGAAATCGCTCATGTCGCTGTTCCGACTTGGCAGCAAAGAGCCCCCGAGACAGTTCCCGGATGCTGGCACCATGTGCCTGCGCTGTTAAATTCACGGCTTGAGCGGGGAGTTAGCGCAGGCCAGGGAACACTTCCAGCAGGGCGGGATGTGCGAGGTCCTCTCATGCTGGCATCCTTTCCTCCGGGGCAGTCCTCCAGCCCGCCCTGTGTCCCTGCTTAATCCCCTCCCTTCCCCTGCTTGACTTTGCCAAGCAGCGGTGCCATGCCGCGAAATCTCCCAGTCCTGGGGGCTGCCGAAGCTGGAGAGAAGCTGTGGAAGAGGGGAAGGATGAGGAGGATGGAGATGGCAGCCTGCAGAAGCTGGAGAGAAGCTGTGGAAGAGGGGAAGGATGGAGGAGGACGGAGGTGACAGCCTGCCGGAGACTCGCAGAGCTGGGGGAGCCTTGCCAGCGCTAAGGTCAATGTGAAACCTTTGAATGGCATGAAAAGCCGGGATGAAAGCCAGTGCCCTGCTGCAGCCTGGGGCGGCCGCCCTGCCAGGCTCCTCCGGAGGTTTGGCATGGAGCCCTGCGCACCCAGGAGCCCGGGGCACCGGGGGAGCAGCCTGGCCCGGAGGAAGGCAGAGCGAGCCCAGGCAGGGTCCTGCGCACACTGTGGTTTCTGGAGCTGGCCGGCCAGGCAGCACACACAGACAAGGGGGTCTGCACCACGTCTGGAGTCCTGGGGCGAGATGGGAGCCACCAGTTCCTCAGCTGGTACATGCTCAGGGTGAAGCAAGAAGAAATCACGTTGAAGAGCGGCTCTTGCAACCACTGCTCTCTTGTTTTTTTTCTGGAGCACATTGTACAGGGTGTTCTTCCATAGAGAGCATGTGTGTGTGCTGCAGAAGCCCATCCAAGGCAATAGCATACCGACAGAATTCTCCGTGCTGAACCATTGCTGGGTCTTGGTCACAGACCAGCAGTGTAACAAACGGGAACCCTGCTGTGCCAATGGGAACAACTGGAAGGTGGACAGCAGAGGGGCGAGGGCTCTTTGACCCAACACTTAGAGGAGTTCCTGAGGACCGTGGAGAGGTATGGAGCCTCTTTGGAAAGATCTAGGTGCAGGAGCGAGGTGAGAGGCAGCTGGGCCCCCTCAACACCTTCTCTGATGGGGCATTGGACTGGAGAGGGAAAGGGAGCTTCTTCAAATCCCGTTGTGCTCAGCCAGTCCTACCCTCCTGGGCAGGTCTGCTCTCTGCCTTCCTCTGTCAGGCAGCTCCACCGCCACCACCCCTAGTGCCAGATGCCTTATTTCTCCTCCTCTCCTCTCTCTCTGTGGGTAGATCTGTGTTTCTTTTCTGCCCTCCACATTTCTCTGTTCCTCGGCATATTTGTGTTAAAATTTGTGAGGGTTTTTCTTGGGGGGAGCATTTCAAGGTTTATTTCTGATGCGATTTTGGATGGAATCTGGCTTGTGGTCCTTTAGTGTGCCAGTGGTTAGGGAAGGCTGGTGTGGGTGTGGAGGTCCTGGTCGGGTGGGGGAGACCAGCCAGGAACCTCAGTTAGGAAAGCACTCTGTATATGAGGTCACTGTTTCAGGGGAGGAGGCAGAAAGCAGCCTCTGAAATCAGTCTTCTCAATGACGTGCAGAGGAACAGAGTGGAGAGACATCATGGAAAAAATATGCAAATAGAGAAACATGGGGATGGGGCAGATACCTATGAGTAACCTGATGGGTTTTCAGGTGAGGGATTGTGACTGTGGACCATGAATTCTCCCGTAGAAGGCATCTGTCTGTGAAAAGGGCATGCGATATCCTTGGTGAACCTTCCCTGGTGGTTCACCAAGGTTCCTGAGACATAGTAGGCTTCATGGGTTACTTACTGAGCCTCTCAGAGGACACTGAATAGAGACATAAATTGTGTCCCTGCACATTTTGGGAGGCCACGTGGAAATGTTACCAGAATGGACAAGGACTTTGAATTTGGCACCTGTAGACTTGCACAGCTGAAATGGTCACCCACAGGTTGGTAAGAGCTGGGGTGACACCAGCATTGGCTCTGCCCTGCTCGTTGTCCTCTGCATGTAAATAGACTCGTAACACAGACAGTCTTGATGCCGTTTGAGAAGGGAGTGTGCCCGTAGCAGTGGTGGGAATGGACCTCGATGAAGACGGGTGGTATGTAGGCTTTACAGGTTTAGTGGCAGTTGTTGCGAGGACTTCTCAGCAGGACCGAACGTGCTCTCAAACATGCATCCTGCTGGAAAACGCTCTGACAGCGCTGCTGGACCCCTGCCCCTGGCCGGCACGGCATGACTCGGGAGCGCCTGCGTCACGGCGCCACGCGTTGTATGATTTATAGCCCTGGTTCCTAGAGTCCTGCCTTGGCACAGCAGGAGTTATCGGTTCCCAGGGAGAGAGCATGTGCTGGTGGAGTGAGTGTGTGATGAAGCTGTCCTGGTTGCAAGTTCTGAGCATTAGTCATGACAGCAAGGCCAATCGCGCCAGCATTTTTCTTGGAAGCGCGTTACTTGCAGGCGCGTGGAGGTGGCTGTGGTGTGGGGAAGGTACGCAGAATTGCCCGGTCCCACCAACTCTGGCTGGAGGCACCATGCTGGGGGTCTCCAGCCGAACACTGCTCCCAGCAGGTCCAACACTGCCGCTGCAGCATGTTGTTCGGGGCTGTGTCTGAGTCAGTCAGGGCAGTCCCTGGGAACGGAGACCCCCTTTAGTTGACCATGTTAGTGACTTTACACAGGACTTTATCCTGTTTGTTGTTCTCTCTTGTTCAGGGGGGGCACGACAAACTGCGCAAAGTGTCCAGACGTGGCCTCACTTGAAGGGAATAATACCTTCTGGGTGCTCTCACTCCGGGCTGGTTGGCCTTCATCGCTGTGACTCCTGGCCAGCTTGGCATGCACGAATCTGCAGATGCCTCTCACCTGCGTGGAGGGCTTCTCCCTCCAGCCTGTCCCAGCCTGCCCCACACATGGGGCTGGTCTGTTTTGGGGCAGGACTTCTGCTGAAGTCCCCAAGATACCACTCAATACCTGGCCTGCTGCCTGTGGGAAGTGTCATGGCGTATATAGCCATCGGCTGCTCCTTTCTTCATACAAAATGTTCATCATGCCGCCTGATTTTCACATAAAATGAAACACCTCGATTGTTGTTCTTTTGCCTCTCAATATCAACTCTCCAAACAAGCTCGACAGAGCGTGCGGTTTCACACACAAGCTGTGATTTTGTCTTTGCACGTCCTGCTCCAGCTTGCAGAAGCGTTGGCCGTCCATTCGGTAGTAAAAAGAGAGATGTGGTACCTAACTCCACGATGAGTCAAACTGCTGTATTTCTCTTCGGCATGAAGTAAATTCGTATTTGACTGCTCAGTGGGGCTTAACGCAACGCTACTTCGCGCAGCTTTTTATGAAGATTATAAAATTGAGGCAAAAAGCAGATCTTACTGTTAATTAGAAGATAGAAGAGTTAATCATAGGGAGGAACGGATTCATATTTGCTCTGAAATTTTCTAAACTGCTTTAAAATGCCTTCAGCTGAAGGAGCTGAACTTCACTACGAACGCTTTGTGTGCTGAAGTGCAGAGTTTTCTTCACCCATTTGAACTGCAGCACAGAAGTTGCAGGGCTTTTTCCCCAGAGATTCACAGAATCACAGAATGGTCAGGGTCGGAAGGGCCCTCTGGAGATCATCTAGTCCAACCCTCCTGCTAGAGCAGGGTCACCTACAACAGGTTGCGCAGGACGGCGAGCAGGTGGGTTTGGAATGTCTCCAGAGTGGGTGACTCCACAACCTCTCTGGGCAGCCTGTTCCGGTGCTCCGCTACCCTCAAAGTAAAGAAGTTCCTTCTCATGTTAAGATGGAACTTCCTATGTTCAGTTTGTGCCCATTACCCCTCGTCCTATCACTGGGCACCACTGAAAAAAGACTGTTCCCATCCCCCTGGCATCCTCTCATTAAGTATTTGTATGTATTAATAAGATCCCCCAAAAGCCCCTGTGTTCATTTTGTTGATATGTGAAGACATTTGGGTTTTTGCAGAGTCATACAATCATTTATTAGAGGCAACCCAAACCTCTTAGGCCAATTTATTCACCCTTTTAGGAAAGGTTTGGAAAAGAGTCACCAGTCTTCAAAGTTTCAAGTCAGAGGCAACTAGCAGAGAAGTGGGAGATGAACCACCAACAGATGGGGGAGGGTTGCGTGTGAAGGACACAGTCTTCATAATGCACCATTAAAACTTCATGAAGAGGTGTCCCAGAAAAAATATTACAAAGCACTAGGCTTAATATTAAATTCTTAGTTTTAGCAGTCTGGTCATTTTCAGGAAGGAATAATCAGCTTAACCACAGCATTCACACATTTAATGTTCTGAGAGAAGAGGGATTGTCTGATTTTTCTTTTTCTTTTTTTTTTTTTTTTTTTTCCACAGTAATTACTGAAAGTCAAAAGCAGCAACTGGAGTCTGTGAGCTACTCTTCCCGCTACGCTCTGGGACTTTTCTATGAAGCTGGTACACGGATTGATGTCCCCTGGGCTGCACAGTACATCACCGATAATCCCTGCATACGCTTCATCTCCATCGATAATAAGAAACGCAATATAGGTCAGTGCTCCCATTATTTCCCTTAAACACAGTGACAATAGAGGGTGTAGATCATGAAAAATGCTGTTTAATTGAGTGTTGCTATTCTGAACAGAGCAAGTATTTAACTCCAAGCCGCAGTGGATAGCATTTAATGTCACATTTGGCCTGTAATAAAATACACAATGAAAGCGGGAAGGTCCTCAGAAAATCACCACCCAGCACATGGTTTACGTTACTGCATTTATGAAACCAGTGTCGGGGGATTTGAGACATCAAAATGTTGCTATTCCAAGAAAGAGCTGGAGTTCCTTTGTTTAAACATTGATTCATACACATGCCAATTTATCTCCCGTCATCCATTACTTTACAACTCCTGTTCTTTCCACTAAGCACGCTTGGAAGTAGTAATGAGTTATATAATTGAGGCTGTTCAGCCTAATTCCGAGTTAGCCAGTGTGCTTTTATAATCATGGAAAATCCTTGAAATGGCTGCGCAGAGCACGGCTGCTCGGTAAGGCTTGGAGAACATCCCACAAGGCAGACACTTCTCATCTGTTTCTGGAAGATGGCAGCCGAGTGAGTATATGTTTTATTTATTAAATGTATTTCATATACCAAGAGGGTGTTGGCATAGAATAGCTCAAGAAAAACTGCTAGCATTTGAGTTTAATCAAGTTCGTTAGGAGCTGAAAATACTTCCCCATTCTGTTGCTTGTTCGCGTTGAAACAATGACCAGGTTTAACCACATCCGTGAAGTGGGGGCAAAATCCTACCCACCTTTGGGGTGACCTACAAAGCACTGTGACTCACTGTCACAGAATAAGGAAGGATTTCCATAATCAGCTGCTGCCTAATACATAATTATGAAGTATTACCAAATTCACTGCGCTAAAGCATGTTCAGATTTAGATCTGGGAGACTTCTGTTTCTAGTCTGCCTTGTTCCGTTCGGATGTATTGTTTCCTGCCTGCAGTCTGCAGACACCGGTGATGTTAGTACCCGCTGGGCAGGGCATTGCAAACCTTGCCCTTGTATCTACATGCCATCACCATGCTTGAAAACAACCATAAGGTTGGGCATGCCTCCCCTCTCTTACACCAGAAATATGCAATTTAAGGTAATAAGCTGTCAGGAAGGAGTGTCATAGTATAACAGTGGTGCTGGTGGCCAGGACCTCTGAAGATTTGTGCTCCAGCTCTCACTCACAACAGGCTGTGCTAACGCAACGTCAGGGCAGCCGGGCCTTGTCTAGCTGAGATTTCAAAAAAAAAACCAACCAGGATGGACATCCACTACATCGTTGGTGACCTGTCCCGGGGCTACACCTCCATTGGGGGAAGGTGTGTCTCTTCATCTGTGATCTGAACTTCCCAAGGCGCAGAGAGTCACAGTCATTCAGGTTGGAAGGGACCACTGGTGGTCATCTGGTCCAACCCCCCACGCAGGGTTTGAAGTTACATCCAGCTGTGAAGTTAGGTCATGTTGCTCAAGGCTGTGATGCAATGTGATGTGAGCCACCTTTGCGCTGCTGGCGTATCTTCAGTGGTGGATCCACCGTAAGCAGCAGGATCTTTTCAGAAAGGTATGTCGCTCAGCCAAGCTGATGCATGGGGTTGTCCTGTGTCAGGCACGGGACCTTGCACTCCTCCTTGTTGTGGTGATAGTACAGTTCGAGTCAGCTCTTCCAAATATGCCCTTCGTTGCTCCAAAGCCAGCTGGGTAGCAATGGCTCTTGAAGTGCCTCCAGAACCAGCAGTTTACGCTGGGAGCAAAGGACTTGCAGAGATGGATCAACTCACCCCTGTGGAAGCCAAAGTTTGTTATTTCTCTTAAGGATTTAGCCTGTTGGTCTGAAAAGAGGGGAAATAAAACAAAAGAACGGCTGAACTGGCCAAAACAAAGATGCATCCACCCTGATATGCTTCCTCCAGCAGGGACCAATAGTGAATATGTACAAAAAAGAGTGTGAGGAAAGCCAAATACCAAGTGATTTTTTTTTCCTCTGGCATTGTCTCCTTGTTACTGACAATGTACAGCTGGAGATTTTCTTGCATCTAAAATAATATTGCCATCCTTGTGTTTAACGGTAAGTACTTGATAGTTAATAGCACCTACTGGTATTCTCCATCCCAGCTGCCCGATTCTAGCTGTGCAGAAGAGGACGCAGCCCCAGGGAGGAATTCACCCGTCCTTTCCTCACCTGCTCCCATACGTAGTCTCAAAGCGTCGGCACTGAGAACAATGAGTATGGAATTATAATGGTGTTATCAAATAACTAAGTACAGTGTCTTTGCTGTCTCCAAATGCAATTTAACCAAATAGAAAGCATATAATTTGGGGCATATTGTTAACAAAGATAATTGTTGGGAACATTGTTCTAGAAACTACCAGAACAGCAGTGTTGACACATACCTTTCTCGCTGTAATTTCCCTCATATTGTGGGAGAGATCTGTTTATACGAGCAAATTTTTCCAAGAAGAACAAACTATACCTTCATAGGGCTGGAACAAGCAGCGTGCCAAGCAACTGGAGATGATCTCTCTCTGGTAGGGCCCTCCTCGTGACATATAAACAGTCAACCAGCCGCCTTGACTGCGCTGTCTTTCCGGGTGAACTTGCATTTCTCAGCTTTGCACTTTGTTCCAGGAAAAGCAGCACAAGGGAGAGAGCCCTATGCCTTAGCTGGAGTGGTGTTTTTGGCGGCGAGTGCTTGAGCCAAGCGCGGGATGGTTGGAAAGCGTGCCTGTATCGTGTTCGGTAATGCTGACGTGCAGAAGTGCAAAAATCAAAAGTGGTCACCAAGTGATTCACTTTTCTTCAAACACATGCACGGCTCTGCGGATAATAGAGACGCACACGCACATACGGACTTCAGCACAACGTGGGCGAGTGGGGCTGAATGTGAAATTTATTTACACGTGCAGGGTACCCCAGCCAAAACACTCGAATATAAAGTTCCTTTATGTTTGTTTAAGCACATATGCAAGTATTTTGCATTTGTATTTTTCTTTCTGTGCTTCTGACTGACCTCCAGAACATTTCGATGGGAGGCACAGCAGCACCTCGCTGTCCCTTGTTCATTGTCTGTTTTTTTGGGGTGCCATTGCTGATATTTTAACACTACGCTTCACTCATCGTTCTTCCATTCTTCCATTCTTCAACCTTGATTGATCCCGATTCAGCTGAAGGAGATGGTGGTGACAATCGTAAGCATTCAGAGAGAGAAAGCAGAAATGCTCAGGCTAAGGTTTACATTAGGTCTCCTGGGTGAAGCAGCCGACATCTTTCAGGGCAGTCATCTTTCCCAAAAAGCCGTCACCTTCTCAGTTGATGCCTGAACGGTCCTGCTTCCCCCTTCTCTGTGCTGCATACACTGTCGCTATATGTTCTTACGCAAGTTTCACGTTTTACCTGAAAAAGCCTTGTTGCTGTAATTATACCATAGGATGGGTTTGTTGGCAGAGCCGGTGAGTTGCAGTCTGTAATCCTCCATAAATCTCAGCCTTTGCTTGCTCTCAGAGCCACGCGCTTCCCCGAGGAGGGCTGTGCTGTGGTGAGCTGCAGCGCGCTCTCGCTACTTCTCGCACAGCACTTCCAAGCTCGTAAAGCCTCTCCTTGCTAGGAGGTACGGCAGCGTCCCCTCTCTTTTTGTTTTCTTCTTAATTCCTTTTTGCAGGCTGCTCAAGGGTGGCTGGTTCTTCAAACATGACATTGCAATGGTATTCTTTAAATCGTAAGTTTGTAGTTGAGGTGAGTGTTGTCAGCATGTCCCCTGTACTGCTGTAATGGAGAACATGCCAGGTGACCGTCTTTCACAAAATCATAGAATCATAGAATGGTTTGGGTTGGAAGGCACCTTGAAGATCATTGAGTCCCACCCCCTGCCCTGGGCAGGGCCACCTCCCACCAGCCCGGGTTGCTCCAAGCCCCGTCCAACCTGGCCTTGAACACCTCCAGGGATGGGGCAGCCACAGCTTCTCGGGGCAACCTGCCCCAGGGGCTCACCACCCTCACAGGGAAACATTTCTTCCTACTATCTTTCTGGCGGTCCAGGTGGGTGAGACAGAACAGCATGACTTCTCAGAGTTTTGTCTTTGTTTGCACTGCTAGAGAGGAATACGGTGTACTGTGATGGACTGACCCTCGCTGTGATGGCCAGGAGATCCTGACCCATGCATGACCGAGCCCACTGGGGAAGGCACTGACACCCCGGGAGTCCCTAGCAGCTCTTCTCCATGGCACAGCGTGCTACCATTAGTTGGCTTCATCGTGACACAGCCCAGTTCCTTACCGATAACTAGGGATGACATCTGTTTTCTTGCTGATTTATGCAGAAGAATCGATAATAAAGCTGTTTCTCTGATCCTGCTGTTACCGATGTAATCTGGAGCGGGCTGAGCCTCCGAGAAAGAAGGCTTTTTGCATCAGCTGAGGATCTCAGCTGCTGTTCATAAAATTGCATCTCAGTCCGCAGGGGTAACGCGCTCGAACGTTACATAAGGAAGAGCCTACAAGAAGTGTATGTTGAATTCCCTGCGCAGCGTGTATGAATATTAAATATTTGTGTGATTGGCTGCCTTAAATTCCCCATCAATATTTATAACTGGTCGGGGGGATGGTGGGAATTCTTTGGTATAAATTTTTTCAAGCCTCATTTTTGTAACACTGCAGTCTTTGCATCGCTTTGCATTCTGGAGGACTAAAGATAGATGACACTTAAAAATGGAAGCGGTTCCCTTCTTTCGCTTGAGGATTGCAAGGTTGTATAATATAAAGGGAAGATTAATCTTACAGGTTTTCGGGATCAGTGTAATTCATGAGTATCCTTTGTAATTTTAAAATACAGATTCCTTTATCTTCTCAGTATCAAAATAAGAATTTGTAGGAAGATGAAAGGGTTAAAGAGTTACTTAGGTTTTCACCTCATTACGTGGCCAATTGCTTTGTAATCCCCTGCCTGCCCTGCCTGCCTTTTAGAAAACCAATCAGAAACTGTCTGTAAGGCTAATGAAATGC